TAGTGTGCTCACAGAAAATCAGTGAAGGCCTTACTGAACTTTTGGAGTGGCAGCGGCCTATTGTACAGACTGTAGCACCCCAGCCCCCCCTTTTTTTTTGCGCGCGTCGATTTCCCTCTTCGCTTTCTTTCCCATCTTTCTTCCCCATTCCCCCTTCCACTAGTGCAGAGTAGCAAACCGGATGCTCCATTTTCTGATTAACCTCCCTGCCTTTCTCTCATTTTATTCTCTCTCTCTCTCTTAGGTATCTACCATTTCAGTAAATTTTTCTTCCTTTCGCTGTAGCATATGGTTTCTTACATATGGTCTGTTCAATTGAGACCATGTAACAGTATCCAATATGTTCATTCTAAGTCATAGTACCTCAACATATCGTCTTTGCCCAGTAAAGTGAGTTCCCATCTAGCTTCCATATCAGACCTGACTACAGGTGCAGGTATCTGAACGAATTCCTTGTCCAGGACTTGAGCTGTGGTTCGTTTACGTTTTTTTCCCTAATTTTTGCGGTTACTGCAATACAAGAAATAAAGTGTAGATTGCGTGTTACATTTTTTACTCATCGTTTGCTAGTGCTCAGCCAGTCACGTGCTTCTCTGCTGCCTTGACTGGTACGTCAAATCTGATGACACACACAGCATTGCTCTGCAACTCATTCGTAAAATAGTTTGCTAGACATTGGAACGACACGTGAAACATGCTCACAAGATGGAAATCTAAACAAAGCAGAAGAAAGATTTCAAGAGATGAGTATTCAGCATGGCTTGTAGGTGGATTTGTTGCGAAAAGGGGTCTTAACTTCATGGAGAAGGGTGGGTGGTGGGGAAGAGGAAGTATGGACAAGGTTGCTTGCGAAAGTGTCGGTTTAAGCCCAATATTTTTTGTCCTATGTTACCCCTTGTGTGAAATGTCTGTTTGTGGGTGGGCTTACAACTTCACATGCAGATGCTATCTCGCCATTTTTCACATCTCTGCCGTGATGAGGTCTAGTATCCAACAATGGTTGCTTGTAAAGCAGGTAAAGAAAGGTTTTTGGACTGGGCGTACCTGAATACTAAGATTTCACGAGCCATGTTTAATGCCACGCAGCTCTTTTATACCTGCTGAAATGATTGAACTGAGCACTTTGGTTTTGAGAGCAGAGTTCAGCAGCGATGGCTTGTAGGTATACAAGCTATATGGCATATAGTTGGGTATCGACTTGTGGGCGCTGCCATGTTGGCCTGATAAGTGATCGTTTTGCCTGTTTTCTACGTCGCATTATGAGATGATCAGGAGCATGAAAAGTTGAATGTGCCTGCCTAAGCGTTCTTGTGCGTTCGAGTTCACCGTAGCCCTGTTTTTTACTTGATACGGCTACAAATATGCAAACGTTATCTCTCCAAGATAGCGGCGCTAGAGCAAGTTCATAAAATGGTGTATACAATCGAAACCGCTTACATAGTCTCTCCCTCACACACACACACACACACACACACACACACACACACACACACACACACACACACACACACACACACACACACACACACACACACACACACACACACACACACACACACACACACACACACACACACACACACACACACACACACACACACACACACACACACACACACACACACACACACACACACACACACACACACACACACACACACACACACACACACACACACACACACACACACACAAACTTTGATTATTTTAAGAGATTCAATAATTTGATAATCAAGTTTTCATGAAATATTCATTTTTTTTGTGCGACGTTTTGATGTGGAAGTTGGCTTCTCGGAAATTTTGACGATAAGGTAAGAAACATGTTTTCAAAGCTCGGCGCGGGAGCTCTTTTTTTTTGGGGGGGGGGGGGGGGTAGGTAAAATTTTTGCATGGTATATAGTTGGCGATGAGGGACAATATTCAGGGCGGGTTATACGCGAGGAAATAAAATTGTATGTGTAGCTCCTGAACATCTTCATACTCAGCTGTACGTACTGATCCGGAGCTGCCAGCGCCTACTCTGCCTTGGCCCAAATAGGGGCCTTGTTTTTTAAGGTAAATAAATCAGTGTCAAGGTTGCCAGGTCAAAAACGCGAGATACAGCCAAGAGATTGGACTAACTGTCCAGAAAGCAGCCAAAAAGAGCCAATAAATTAAAGCATAGCCAGGAGTAGGAGGCTCCTGTGAAAAAAGAATGCATTATTTTTATTTAAAAAGTTAAATGCTGAATACTTTTGGTTGAACTATAAATAAACACCGGGACAACACTTTAAAATCAAAATTGCTGATAATATAACATAAATTGTTGACCTTAACAATAATTTAGTGTGACGTCATGAAATGGCTAGATGGACTAATTATAGTAATCTTGTTGTGGCAACCAACACGATGACAGCATGAGTGTGTTAAATTTCATACTTGCTATGGTTGAAGGATAAACGGTAATCACTTTCCTAATCGTTTCTCACGTGGTGACAAATTCCCGGTAGTTAATATTGCTGAGTTGTACACTCTGCCCAATTTTAACAAGCAACTACAAATTTTGTTGCATATCGAATTTCTACAATGTCGACGAGTGCAGAGCTTCTCATATGAGAAGTGTTTTGGCTAGGCCTGCTCGCTTCTGAATACAATTCAAAATGGCTTTGCTAAGAAACAGGATATTATGCGCATCAGCTTTCCCTCGACTAAGAGAATTGTGTCAAAAAGTTTTATTATATATAATGCAAGCTCACACTTCAAGTTTACGAGCTCGAAACGCGCGTTAGTCACCATGTTCTCTCCCTGCATGCTCAAACTCATGGAACTGTGACGTCACAAAATATTGGCAAGTTGTTTCAAATCGAGAGAACTTGAAAGTAGCCAAAAAGCAGTCAAGTAGCTAAGGCGTGTTCTTCTGTGACCACCAGCCTAAAATAGTAGCTACATTGGTGCAAAGTACCCAAACCTGACAACCCTGCTCAGTGAGAGTCTTGGGTGGACCCAGCGGTTATGCCAGACTTATCTTATGCACGTTCGGTTAGTATTACCACCCCAGAATGTTAACACGCATTCGGCATATGCCTGAGCCACGGTACCACAATGTTGTGCAAGACCGGCTATAGGAATAACAGGAGACATATGACTTTGGAGTCCGTGCATGATGGCTGGACTTATAGTATGAAGGTACTTATATACGAAGTAGCTCTTTGACTAGCTTGTGTAACGCTGTCGCTCCATCCACACCACGCTCCCCTGGCCGCTAGTGTTGGGGCGGTGCCGAGTAGGTCAAGCCTTTCTTCGCAGTGCGTGCGCGTTGACGCCACTCTCTCCCTAGTTTGTCGCCGCTCGCCGCATGTCGTCTCTCTCGCTTCACACTCTTCCCCGCCAACAACGTTTGAGCGCAGATCGAGTGGAAACACTGTTTCAACTCGTTTATCTGCTATGAAACTTACACAAAGGCAAACCCGCCTTCCATGCCCTTGCGTTTACTCGAGAAAAGGCTACACCGAGTTTCGGTTCAAACTGTTTTGCCATCCACCGACTGATGTCAGTTTCAGCCAGGTCAACGGCGTGCGCACGGCTGCTGCTTCGCGTCCCTTTATGGTTCTCCCTCCAGGGAGATAGTTCATACTTTCTTCGTGTGATCATCTCCGCAGCCACTTCGGGCATGAGGCCGCGTTCACACTGTGCATTCCGGCCGCCGAAAGTGCTTCGAATCCGGTTCAGCGGCGACGAGATCCGCCGAAAGGGCCCTTTCCGCGCCGATCGCTCTCGGACCGATTTTTGCGGCGTCTGCCGCCGAATCGGTCACCACGGACCAATAGGAGCGCTAGTCAAGGAATTTTGAAAAATGGCGGCCAAGCCCTACTCACTTGTTATGCTGCAGTACACGTAACTGAAAGTTGAAAACAACGGGAGTTTAACGTACTCTGTGCCTACTTCACCTCCGTATTTTGTGAAAGAGGTGACCGAGCTTGCTTTTGGCGTGACCGAGCTTGTTGCGGTCTTGCAAAGCAAAACGAAACCACCAACGCCGCTGGCGTCGGTGGTTTTTCTGCTCTTCGTGCATTACAAGACAACCACTTGCCAGCAAAGTAAGCAGTACTGTCTTTTCTTGCTTCTTGCGTACGAGAATCGTCGAAGCATAAACCACCGGATAGCGTAGTAGCGTTTGCGAGCCGCGACAACAACCGGGTGACAGCGCATCCATCCCGCGTTCGCCCCGTAGTAGATGGCATATTCGGCGGCGCGGGGCGCGTCCAGTGCGAACTACGCTGCGTTTCGGCGGCAGGGGAATTTCGGTCGCTGTAGAAAGCGGATGTTTCAGTGTGAACTAGGCATGAGTGCTTCTCACGTAGTGAGGCTCTGCATGAGCGTCGTCCTGAGAAGGATTGCTCTTTGTGTTAAGTGTTAAAAAACAGTGAATTCACACTTGTTCTTCTGACACTCATAGTATGCGTAAAAGAAACATGCGAACACACACACGTATATATATATATATATATATATATATATATATATATATATATATATATATATATATATATATATATATATATATATATATATATATATATATATATATATATATATATATATATATATATATATATAACCAGAAACAAACACACATGAACACACGCACAGGACGTTAATATCAAAGTCGTCGCAGTAGCGCTTGCACAGCTTCCTCTTCAAACTTCAAACGCAGTCGATGGCTCAGGATTCGTCTTTCTGGAAGAGTTAAGTTGTCTAGTTTTTCAAACGTATTGAAAGCGCCTATATAATGAAGAAAATCAATGTCAAACAAAAGCAGCAAAAAGGCATATTTTAGCCACCGAGTCATGACAAGGAATGCAAAAAGCCACTTTTTGCAATGTTCTGCGAACGTCAGCAGCTATCTCTTCTAGCAAGACCCAGAGACAATCGGCGAAAATTACGGCAGCTTCGCACTATACAGATAAGTAAGAAAGGTTCAAGCTGGGTGGCCTTCCTTGTCTACCTTTATTTTCTCTAGCCTTTTTCTTCTCCTCAATGCACAATAACGTATTTTATTGAACGGGTGGGGTAAATACATCTGTGTAATATACAACGTTTGCTTGACATTCGGGATGATACAGAACGTAGCTTTTCCGTTTTTTCAAGCGCCTAATGAAAGATTCCACGCACTTGGCACTCGGGCCTTGCTCAACGGACGAATTTTTCATCCGTAGATCGACGTGGTAGAAATCGATAGCTGAAAAATTAAAAAAAGGAAACCAAATGCAAAAGCAGACAATGTTGCAGTTTTGTATTATAGTGGCGGTATTTGTTTCAGTTGTACTATTTCAACAATACCTATACGCGGGTTTCATTGTCGCATCTTTCCAGCAATTGAAGGCTCAAGAAAAGACGGAACATGTCTGAAAGATTGACGTGGCTAGGCTGATTTACTCGAAACGTTATTACTCTGTTAAAATATTGAAAATTTTACGGGTAATGATGAGTTTATAAGTTGTTACGGCGTTAGCATCCGGCGACAATATGTTTCTCAAGGAGCACACCGCAGTTTGGCTCCAGCTAAACAGAAGTCAGGAGTATGCTCAAATGAGGGAAACACCGAGGAAGATATAAACTCCACCGCTGTCCCATTTCTATGAAAGCAAAGTGGCCGAGGCCAGGATACTGTGCGATGCCAGTGCCCGTTGAAAAACACCAGATAGTCAAAGTTTCCGGAGCCTTCAACTAAGGTGTCTCTCATAATCTCATCGTGGTGTTAAATTCAAATTCGATCTCTTCATTTCAGACATATATACACTAATCACAGTTTGAAATATGTTCACGGGATAACACAAAAGGAGTCTCATACGTCTCCTGATGAGGCCTTCACCCAAGACTTACATGTTTTGTAACATTAAACTCCAGATAGCGCTATTAGACGATACAAACTCATATTTAAAACATTTTCGTAGACATAAAAAGCGCCTGTAACAATCAGTATCACCTGAATTTTCTTACTTGAAGGGTGTATAAAGCTTAAGCATAAAAATATTAAAGTTCATTAAGCTAAATCAGGACGCTGGACCTGCGCAGAACACGCAGCGCAGCCACAGCGTAGCCTGAATGAGCGGGCTTCGTAGTGGTAGTAAAAAAACCGTGACACCGGCATCGCACATCATTTCGATTGTGATCAGGGCTGATCCAAATAAGTCTACATGTAGATCAGTTTATGCTGCATAGTCCTTTTTATTGTAATCTGAACCGACCGGTTTCAGGTACATTTGTACACATCTTTAGCGTCATTTCGTAACATTTCGCTAAGTAAAACACAGTCACCTTCCATTCACATGTTTCGCGTAACGTCTATTACCAAGGTATACGTGGGATGTGCCAAACTTATTTTTGTTTCAACGTTGAAGTAATAAATGAGCGAGCAATCGCGTCCAGTTATAGCGGCTATGATGCGATATATACAGCTCTATAAACACCCAGTGAAAGAATCTTAGTGAAATAGCACTTCAGATCAAAATGTATCAATATATGCGGGCATTTGCTTATACTGACTTGTACATTCAGGCCCAACAGCGTTTACCAAGAGTTGAATCACCATTCAGCATCTTTGTAGTATTTACGCTTCATAAATGTGTGTAAAGAAATACATACGCTTTCCTCTGGTGAATATCTTAAACACTCCACAACTGTTATCATCGCTCTGGTACACCAAGAGTTCTTCTTTGTTCCATTTCGTGCCTACAAGAAATTAAAAAGAAAGGCTTAATATCAATAAATGTAGTATATACAAGCAATAGTCTGACTTGAGCGTATTGGCTGACACTTAGACTGATATCGTATCATCTAATCTTTTGTCATCAATGTGTACCAGTTTTTATCCCGTCTGAAGTGTTTGGCTGTAAACGCTTGGCCCTTCGATTAAAACGTTCATTTTCTAATGTACTAAACCTATGCCATGCAGTTTTGCGTGCCGGGCTACTTTGAATTCTGGCTCACACTACGGGAATTTTTAGGCATGTTACGCTTCGAGTTTTTAGGTATGTGACGGCAGGCAGAGTGACCGATATTAAGAAAAAGAATGAGCAATAAGCGGGGAAAATTCAAGACACTAAAGTGCTTTCAACTCTAAGTTATATGAAGCTCTACGACATCATAGTACTGTTTCATGCCATTCGTTATAGTTTAATTGTGTACTTTGCTATGAAGATAGCAATAAATTCGTCACTGGATATTAACTCAGTGCTATTCAGTAAATGAAAACAAATCTACCAGTTCTTTAGCGATTGATTGATTGATATGTGGGGTTTAACGTCCCAAAACCACTATATGATTATGAGAGACGCCGTAGTGGAGGGCTCCGGAAATTTAGACCACCTGGGGTTCTTTAACGTGCACCCAAATCTGAGCACACGGGCCTACAACATTTCCGCCTCCATCGGAAATGCAGCCGCCGCAGCCGGGATTCGAACCCGCGCCCTGCGGGTCAGCAGCCGAGTACCTTAGCCACTAGACCACCGCGGCGGGGCAGTTCTTTAGCGAGAACTTCAGAGACAAGTGACAGAAGAATTCACCCGTTGTCTCCTCAGTTCGCGTTAAGAAAGAAATTACCAAGGAGCCCGACCACACACATGAAAGTTTCATGTAAAGGTGCAGAACGAAACAGAAGTTTACTTGGGAATAAAGCTCAAACGTTGTTGGCAGATAACACGGCGAAGACATGTTATAGCTGAAAAAAAAAAAAAACATTATCAAACTTAAATTGGCCGAGCAAGCACCAGTGGCGCGAGGACATCTTCCTCTTTCCTTTAAGGGCCAAGCATCGTAGTCAGCTGCTTTTGTGACGGCTCATTTGCTCGAACGCAAGAGAGGGGGCCACCACTTCAGCGCTCGTCGCTTGGCGAGAAGAAGCGAATGACTTGCGTTCACGATTGGAACCATAGATAAAGAAAGGAGGGAGCGTGACGTCACTCCACCAGTCTTTGCAAGTCAATTCATTTTCAAGGCATCAGTGTTTCGCCCAACACGCGGCCTTTTACGGCGAGATCACGCTAGCAACGAGACTTGCCGAGATTGCGTGGTATAGCGACATCGAAATGTGCTCGTTCGGCGCCGACCCACCGGTTCACGCGGGAGTTTCAAAAACGAATCGCCACCAATGCTACTAAAATGTACCGCACACTCTGAGGTTTTGATCACGTGTGTAGCCGACACGCTCGGCTTTACTTGTGTGACTTATTCCTTTTTCTTCTTCCAGGATGGAAACACCCTTTCTGCGATGCACGCTGCACTACCAGCTCGCAAAGAACGGGAACTCCGCTCGCCCACGATAGACAAGGCTGACGTAGCCAGCGACTGCTAACGAGTTTCTTGACAACAAAAACAAAATCAACAAAAAAGCGTTAGCTTGCCCAACCGTTCATATATAGGCACCGGATCTTGATTGATATGTGGGGTTTAACGTCCCAAAACCACCATATGATTATGAGAGACGCCGTAGGGGAGGGCTCCGGAAATTTCGACCACCTGGGGTTCTTTAACGTGCACCCAAATCTGAGCGAACGGGCCTACAGCAATTCCGCCTCCACCGGAAAGGCAGCCGCCGCAGCCAGGATTCGATCCCGCGACCTGCGGGTCAGCTCCCGAGTAACTCAGCCACTAGACCACCGCGGCGGGGCTAGGCACTGGATCTTCACCTGCGATGTAGTGTCGATGGGAGATTTCTCTTGTGCGTAGTTGAACCATTGATTCGCAGCGTGCGCGTTAATTAAAGCTGACTGCGGGTGTCTCTGTCCAATCGGCGCCCCCAGTTTTTAAATGCGAAGCATTTCTTAGCAAACTTCGGTGACTTTGAGCGTATCTATCTATCTATCTATCTATCTATCTATCTATCTATCTATCTATCTATCTATCTATCTATCTATCTATCTATCTATCTATCTATCTATCTATCTATCTATCTATCTATCTATCTATCTATCTATCTATCTATCTATCTATCTATCTATCTATCTATCTATCCGCCTACGACTTTTAGCTCTCCTGGCCGTTTGGATAGTGGTATCGATACCAAACTTGGTATGACATAACATGACTGTATGAAGAACATTTTCGACTAGTCATAACATGAGAAGTATGATATATTTGCCATGAATGTCATGATTTACATTCCTTGGTCTTGCTGCTCTTGCAGTGGGTTCATTAACATGACATGTTGCAAAACTCGTGTGGTATGACATGACTGCATGGCGAACACAAAAGACAGACCATAACATGAAAATCATGACATGCGTGTCATGTAACGACATGACTACATGCCCAACTAATGATGCGCTCGCACCCGTTTCGCTAGTTTCGCATATACCACATTTGGTATTACGGGACGTGTATGGATGACGAAGGTATGTGACTGGTGCACACACGTTAATCATGATAGGCGTGTTGTGCAATAACATCACTAAATGCTACGCTGATGATGCGCTCACGGCCATTTCGCTAGCTTCACATGTACCAAATTCGGTATTACGTGGCGCGAACAGACGACATAGGTAAATGACACGTCCAAACACGATAATCATGACATGCGGGTCATGTAACAACATGACTGCATGCCACAATCACGATGTGCTCTCGGTCGTTCCGCTAGCTTCACATATGTCAAATTTGGTATTACGTCACTTGAGTAGATGACGAAGGTTGTTAACAGTGCAAACGAGATAATCATGAGATGCGTGTCCTGTAAGAACATGACTGCATTCCACACTCAAGGCGCCAATACACTTCGACGTGACCCTGTGCGCGTGCGCGCCGGCGTTCGTTTCGTCGTGTCAGGCCGGCGGTGCCACGCCAGGCGTAAATCTGCCTGTCATATCCTCGCAGGCGGTCGCCGCGCTGCTTCGCTTTGACGCATGGGCGTTTGAGCACGCCCGGCGTCCCTCCGTCACGAAGAAAGGCAGACGCGGTGCTGTCTAGGTAACGTTGTCGGCGCGAAATACAGCATGTCGCAATTCGCGCCGGTTGTCGCTGGGTCGCGCCGACGAACGCTGGTCTCGCGTTTTGCGACGAGCGCCGGTGCTCGCGTTTTTCTAGTGTAGCGTCGCTGCACCCAGCGTGCTCGCGCGTCAATGTTACGTCGGAGTACATTGGACCTTTGATGATGTGCTCGTGGCCGTTTCGCCAGCTCCACATATACCATGTTTGGTAAAAGGGGATGTGGATGGACGACGAAGGTATGTGACTGGTGCAAACATGATAACAATGACACGCATGTCATGTAAAACCTGACTACATGCTACGCTTATAGCGCGCTAGTTGCCCTTCGCTAGCTCCACATATACCAAATTTGGTATCACGTGACGTGAATAGATGATGAAGGTAAATGACACGTCCAAACTTGATAATCGTGACATGGAAGTCATGTAGGGCATAACTTACCTCTGTCTCTTATAGTTTTGCTGATTTTAAAGTGACATAGCAACCTTCTTCTGTCGTGCTTCGCATATCATCGATTCCCACTGTACGTGAAATCTGCCAATTTTTCTTCTCTCCTTTCATTGTTTTTTTGTGTCTTTCATCATTTTCCAGGCTAATGGACATCGACAGCGACCTCAAGTAAATTTGCGTCAGCCCGAAAATCGTAAGAGCCATGATCGTATCACCAAGGTTTCACTTTATCAGGATGCTGTAGGTGTCTAAATGATCGGATAAAATACTTACTTAATTGATGTTTTCTTATATACTTAAAAAGAGACACTTCTCAAGAAAACGCTGGAAGTAGTAAATAGTGAGAAACAGCATACACCAATCATAGTAGGAACAACAACGAAAGATAATTATTGCACTAAAGCACTCTGAGACAGATTTTAGAATGTTCTGCACTTTGGCAACGTCGGTCAGTTACCAAATATTTTACCTATGGAACCAACGAAGATACTGTGGTAGTTTTGAGTAGTATTCTTCCAGGGGAAGAGAGCAGAATAGTTTCCTTTGAGGTACTTTTCCGTCCATAGCCTGCACGTAATAAAAATGAGATGAAAACCTCTGTATATCTTTCATAGAAACGGAAATCATACCTAGAAGATTTCAAGAAATGCGATCTTTCAAATCTAATTAGTTTTTCGTTGGAGTATAACTTGGTGTCTTTTCTGCAGAATAGAGTTGAGCCTCTGGTGCTATTGTATGTCCATATGACCTCATTGACATCTAGAAACTGAAATGAATCGAATAAAAATAGATTACGAATGGCGAAAAACAGTAATCACAGTCAGGAAAACGCTGATAGCTTAACTGAGGTTACCCTACGCACAAAGGGTTACAGAAGTATAGCACACCATAGGGTGAGGAGCTTCACGTTTATGCTGAGCTTGAGGTGCGCTTGAGTTTGAGCTTGAGGTGAAGTCTCGTAACTGTGATCGCAAAGGCCGGTGCTTCGTTGAAAACAAAAGTACTGTACTATCCTATTGACAAAATGAAAACTTGGGTTAGTAGGTCCGCGTTTGTGTGTCGGTGCTGTCTGTTGTCCTTCTTCGTATTTCATTTTTGCTTGCGGTCCTCCTTGAAATTATACATGCAAGTGCATTGTGATTGTTTGTGTAAAAAATTGTTTAAGAAAAAGATGACACAGTAAAACCTGTCAGCCTATGCCCGCTAACTCTCGCTTCGCGATTTAACGTTCACTACGAAATTAGAAGCGCAGACCGTCTCTATTTATGTCTGTGATGTTCACAGTGGTTTGCTGCATACCGTGATAAACATTCCCTTACAAAGCAAGATGGTAAAAAAAAATCGTCCCGTATTTGAGTGTTACACCACAAATGCCGTCGAAAGACGATAGTCTTGCGTCTGGAGAGAGTGAACAAAAACGTTCATTTCTTGAGGAAGACTCGAACACCTTGTCAAGTAGCCATGACATTGCACCGCATATAAAAATGCGAGTCTGGAATCGACAAGCGATTTTCACATAATCTGTGCACGAGTCAAACGTCGACTCGTAACAGTTTGGTAGCTTTCAAAGTGTGTCACAAGCATTCAAAACAGCTTGCAACTCAAACCGCTTATTGCTACCCGTGGCGCAAAAATTTATTACTGTTGGTAGCTGTGTCTGGCGAGCACAAAGGCGTGCATAGTCGTGTCCTTATATTTATATTCATGCTGTATGTAGAGTAGCTGTTGTCGTCAAAGAAGTTGAACAGCATTTGCTTGTTTGGAGTCCACTAGACATATATGCACACCACACCCACACACATCAAACCACTGCACAACTCGTAGTATGGTAGATATGTCCCTGTTTCACGATTTCCGCAAGAGATCACAAAAATTGTATCGCTATTTACAATCTGGAAGTCGCACATTCTCTGCCAGCCAATTCAAGCTCGCTGCAGTCCATTCTGTTTAACCTTCACTAAAGTGAAGAAAAATAGCGCTTAAGATCATTTTGTTGCTTGTGCAATACAGAAGTATGCCTAATTTGCACCTATAAATCTCTAGAGAAAACAATGACAAGAGGAAATTCTGAAAGGAGGGACAGGAAAGACATTATGGTGCATTGTGAATGTTCAGTTAATAAAATTTTCCCATTTCATTGAGCTGCACAGCGAGGGACTCAAAAAGCTAGATACGCAGCCTGTTTTAATTGGATGCGACAGTCCTGTACAGCTTGCCTATCTTTCAACAGCTTCAGAGCTATGATGAACTTCTCACTTTGGCTAGTGACATCTGTGACTGGAAATTTACATCACACTGGCAGACGCGGAAAGCCTGGAACGCACGTAACATTCCTAGCAACAATGGCACTGCTAGCTATAATTGAAAACATCATTCTAAACATCATTCATTTTTATATATATAAATGTGACTCGTTCATTGATCAAAAAACAGTTCCACTCCTTGACAAGGTATGCAGAATCACCAGTATCAACAAATGCTTTAGAGCATGGACAAGATTGCAGCAAGCATTCAGCAAGGAAAATATGTGCATTCTAGTACTGGCTGAATATGCTTTGAAGACAAAACATTTTGTGTTCAGTGGCTGAAAGCCAGAACTGCAGCATATTTTCAAGATCCCCATGCAGTGCATGGTGTTATTGCTCAGCACCTGTGGTTTTACCAAGCAAGCTGAAGGCTTAGTAGTTAATGAGTCATTGTACAACAAAGCCTGTGGAGGCTCTTACAGCATGGTGGAGGACACATTCTTCGGTTCAAGAAACTACTAGTCTCGGTGACCTTTAACAAAGTGCATCACAGGTTCGTTTCTGTCCTGTTTTTTTTTTCTGCGTTAGAGTGCCTCGAGCGTGCAGCGGAGGCGAACGAGCGCATCAAGTCACGTCACACGTGAGACATGAGCGCTATCTGGAAGTATCTTGGAAAACGAAGCGTGCGGATCTGAGACCGTCTCAGAGGTGATAAGGCGTAAAAATCAAGGTGACGGGTAGGTGCCACCACCGTGTCGTCTTAGCAAAGCGTTGGAAACACTTGCTTTTTCGTGCAAGCGTTGCATGGTCAGCGTAACGTGATAAATGCTACGGTCCTTAGAAATTCTCATCTATGCTTTTTCTAGCATTGTAAAAATCATGACGTACCTCGAAAGAGCCTTTTACAAAAACTCAATTCTTTGGATAAAGGACCTCTATCAGTTGCAAAAATCTTGCGTCCATGGCTAAAAGGAAAGCTACAAGCCACTGCAGCGCGTGCAGTCATTCACTTTCTGAATGAATCAGAAATAGCTCAAAAGTACTAAACAAACGAAAATGTAATTCGTCACTTATAACTGGTATGTTTCAAAACAGTATTTTCGTGTTTCACTATGATACCTTTGGGAAAACCTTTCTGAAAACAGTTCAGTATTTAAGTGAGAAGATCACTTTAGACATTTTATTGAACTTTCATGTTTTGTGTGAACACTTAAATTGGCGTGATTACTTGTGTTTTTACAAACTGTGTGTGGTGTGTATACATTTCTGTGTGGTGTGGACACTCAGTATTGAAAAACGTGGACTCATTGTGTAAGCTTAGTGCTATGTACATATGTATAGCTTTGTGTTTGCTACAAAATACGCGATGTCGTCTTTTGTGCAAGGGAAGAGGAGTAGCCGGTGGCACGCATCGACACCAACCTCTCCTTATTTACATTTATTTAAAAAAAAGAGACAAACATACAGTATATAGGCGTGTTGTCATCGTGCCTCAGATATGCGCAATAATTGTTTTTTAATTGACAATCACACAAGTATGAATGCTGAATCTTGAGCAATATTGGTGGGCGCTGCGGATAGGGTCGGCCGTTTAGGGTACCGTCTGGTGCCGTTTAGGGTACCGTTAAGGATGAACAAACAGACAAATATCTAGACAGACAGACAAACAGACAGACAGACAGACCGACAGACAGACAGACAGACAGACAGACAGACAGACAGACAGACAGACAGACCACAATTTTTGCGTCGAAGGTCTCCAAGAAAGACTATCGTCTTCAAAAAAGAAAACGCACATTCGTGGTATGTCTGCTGATATACGTCGTACTGTATAGCCTGGTACGATATCACAATAGTTGTCAGCTTGTTTCAGATAGCAAAAATATCAATTAAGAGCCCACAATTCAGTAAAAAGCAGTCTTTGCAAAGTATCGATTTAACAAATCATTGTTTTACAAAGAGTAAATATCTAAGAGTGAGTTCATACGTGTATTGAATGAAAGCTTTGGGCGGTCAGTTGTTATTTTATTTCATTTAGAATGCTTTTCGGCACATATGTTACAGAAAAGTAACATATGTGCGGAAACTATCTAAACGATAGAGTAATATTCGTGTAAAATTTATGTAGTGTTTACAAAAGTTCCTATCTCATATTTTACGAAATAGCCACAAATATTATGGGAAATTCACCTTTCGTATATCCCTCTTGTGTAGCTGTGGCAGGTGAGTATCCGAAGACACTTTAGGCGCCAGCACCGTAAGCAGAAGAGTGAATTTGACTGTGCCTCTTATCATAGCTTATCAACAGCGCGTATCATCAGACGTCTTCGGAAAGGAAAGAATACCACAGGAGCTTCGTCGATCAAGTATACGACCAGTAGGTTCTGCGCCCACGATGTCAAGAATTATTCTGTCACTTAACAGTAGAGGTGTTTAAGCTAAGCAAGGCTTCCGTGAAGAGAGCTCACATAAATCGCGTGTGCACTAAATGTCAGTTTCGTAGCGATTGAAGCGTATAAACATGAAGTTAACATTTCGTAAATGTCACCTATTAGCGCGTCTCAACGGCAGAAACAATTCTAAAGGAGGAAGTTTGGACATCTTTCTTAGCCCTCTGTCAGAAATACAAGAAAAGCAACTTTTGAATGATAACTACGAATATGACACGTGAAAGCTTCTGCCGTAAAGGAGACGCAGACACATCAGAAACCCGCTGTGATTACTCATTGCCTAGCTGTCTGACCTCACCAGGTCTCTTTGTCTGGGATAGTCCGAACTGTTTGAGCGATTGAACTAAATGAAAACAAAGTGAGAAGGCATTAAATTTGGTAAAAATAGTGTGCTCTTAAATTTCAAAGAGACTTTGGTGAGTTAAGCTACAAAAAAGCTGCTAAGAGCATTTGTCACAATCTCAAATGTATGTAAAAACGTTGTCCTGTTGGAGAACCAGTCAAGCAGGGCTAAGAGAGAGGGGTTTGCGGATAGAGTGGAATAAAGGTCTACCGGAGCAATAGTATGCTCTAGCCTGCTACTCTACGCAGAGGGAGGGTAACGCGACAGAAAAAAAAGCAATGAACGACGATGGGGAGGTATGGAGGTCGCAGTCTCGTCAGGTTGGCGCAATGATATAGACGCGCATTCAATACAGTTGCATGTAGGAAGGCTATATGGCCACTTTTACGACCTCAGTTACACTGTTCGCGTCAAGTCAAGGGCCCAAAATAACCCCATAGTAGAAGAATACATCACAAAATTGTTTAGTAGAGAAAATCAGTGCATGTCGTTCACGTGTGTATGTTGAACCGCGACAAAACATATGCTCAGTGTTTCCGGCACTTGAGAGTGATTCCAATTGAGAATGGTGTCACTGCAAAGGTAATGTTCATGTATTTAAATAGGACAAGGAATATCTCTTACAGGAAGGATGGAGTCACTCGAATAGAAGTTAAACACTTGTAAAATTGATAATGTCAAGGTGCTTTCAGATGGCTTGTCGAAAAATTGGCCTGGTATCTTCACGTTAATCAGCAAATGTCGCCGAAAGACGATAGTCTTGCATGTGGAGAGAGTGAACAAAACATTTATTTGGTGTTTTGCGCAAGAAAATTGGTGAATGGTTGTCACAGGTCCTGTTAATTAGGGAGGCGATCACCGGGCTAATTCCAAGTGCCGAAGTATCGGCCCCGCGAACTGCACCACGAAAGCACGGACAATTTAGAGGTGTTCCTATTTGGCGCGCCAGCGGACGACGGCTGTGGCCCAAAGAACAAGTCGGAGCCGAGAGTTGATAAACAAAACCAAATTATATTCTCAAATATGGCAGATCAAACGATACACAAATCTGCAGACTCGATAATGGTTGAATACGATATGTCAACAAGCAACGTACTACACAATACGATCAGCTACACTCAAAACAACGGACTCAAACAACAATACGCGCTACAATGCAATCACATGCATCGAACAACCAAGACACTTAAAGACTACAGAGTTCGAAAACTTAGTCCAAAGTCCTTGGAACAAAGTATGAATGGTACTCTTCCAAGAATCACTCACTCAAGTCCAGCGCTGTTGCCGTTCCACTGCCCCCGAAGTTTCTCTTCCAGGAAACCTCGCGTCTTCAATTGTCCGCTCTCCAAGCTCCAATCTTCTTCGCCGGTAACACGTCGGCTTCCCACGCGCCACTGCTGCGACGTGTCTTCGCTCGCTGGCGGTAGACACACTCTTCTGCTTGTAGCACGAGTCTTCGCCCCTCAGGTGGAAATCCTCTTCATTACCTGCTTTGTCGCTGAGGACAGAAGCCTTCACCAACAAGACGGAACACCCTAGGCACCCTGGCGCAAACTTTCTTCTTCTCCTTCTTTGTCACTGAGGACAAATGGCTTCGCCCACATGGCGGAAATACCCTACGCACACTGGCGCTAAATTCCTTCTTCTCCTGTTTTACTTTCTCTGCTGCTCGCTTGAATACCTTCCGCGCTAGATTTCAGAAAATTCTAATCGTTTCGTCGGCGCGATGCACAGCCAAGGCTGGGGAAAGCGCGAGACGTTTCGGGGACTGTCCGCGACAAGTGACGCAACTCGGCATCACTACGCCCGTTTCCTTCGAGAACCTTCCAGGGCTTGCTCGGCCACCGATGTGAGGAGGTTGGTCGGCGAAACTACGCTTCCTAGGGGGGGGGGGGGGAGGAGACGGAGCACCTGGGGAGTCTTTGGATGCTCGTTTTCTTCTTTATCGTTGACCTTGAGGCGCTCCTCTGGCGCTTGGTTGCCAGAATTTGGCGGCGCGCCCTTTTTTGAGCGCTCGTTTGTGACACTGCCCTTCACTTTAAGAATGTTATCTCATAATATACAAAACCACACAAATTAGCGTGAATAGACTCCACACAACAACAGTCCGTAACACAGTCCATCGCTCGTGGTGCGTCAAATTCACAATAGAACACTCAGTACAATTGCACATTGCAATTCAATCTCACAAAACATGGAATATAACCACAGGTACATGAGTACTGCACGCCATCACAAATTTCAAACAATACAAACGTACAAGGGTCTGTCTTGACAACAATTGTATAATCCTATACACCACGTCACCGCAACAAACACTTTGACTCGCTCGACATACACTTGTGCCACAAGATAACAACAATACAACACACTGAGGCTCAACACTACCAAACACACTCCGATTCGACCTCAGCCCTTATTCTGTGTACTTCGAGCTGCGCTTGCGCCCTTTGTTGTGGTGCTCACTCGATCTCTTCTTAGTTTTCCTCGTTCTGTTCTGGTGAGCCCTTCCACTCGACGGTATCTGAGGCGGCGTCTCAGCCATCGTTGTCACTTTCGACACTGTTAACGGGTCATAACGTTCAACCGATCTTGTTTGGTTATTCAACAGCTCGTCACACAACATTGGGCCTGGCTGGCTGACTCCGTCACCTTTTCACGGTTGGTTGAGGTCGCACCGCCGTAAGTCCAGCTGCACGGCACGTTCTCTCATTCAACACGATCATTTCTTGGTTCACTGTCTCTTGCACCCGGGCTTCACATTGAGCTTGGTTGAAATCCTTCACGGGATGATCCTCTCCTGTATTATGCGGTCCCTTTGTCGGCGAGGACTTCATCTTCGGGTGTTCCCCCAAACGTTCGGGATTGCTTGGCACCGTTGATGTTTCTGATGATGAGGTCGTACAGGGGGGTCGTCATACATAGGGCAGTAACCTTCCCGCTGAAGTAAGGGGTTTCAAACTCAATCTCTGCTTCAAGAAACACCCGAACCGAGCTGTCAATTAGGCAAACCGGTTTCGTTTTGCCTATTAACTCACTTTCCCGAACTAAGTTTCTCCGCATGATAACAGTGGAGCTACCGGTGTCCCTTAACACTGTAACCTCCTTGCCCGCAACTTTTCAAGGCAGCGTTGGCATTCCCTTCGTAACACCGGTTGGCCATTTTGTCATTACAACACTCACAATAGGAAGTTTCTTCCCATTTTGCAGCTCCACGAATCCGTCGATGACGTTATCATCATCGGCTTTCGGTGCCACCTGCACACAGGCTACTTCGTGAGTTTGACTCGCTCCGTTACGGCATGCGTCTGCCTTGTACCCAGTCTTACCACACTTGAAACATTTTACAACAGTAGGGCTCGTAAAGTTAGTTCGGCAGCTGTTAGCACGATGACTCACTCGGTTATACCGAAAACATCGCGGAACACTCTCCGGTGCACACTTCTTTTGTTCGGGTGCTGATTTCTTCGAATCTTCGGGACATTCCTTCTTAACCTTGGCTAGACTTGTGCCACCTTGCGCTTCCAAGAATTGGTTGGCCAATTCAAGCATTCCTTCAACTGACTTAGCTTTCCTATCTTTCAAGTACAGCGACAGGCTTGGGTGATAATTGGTAAGAAATTGCTCTCTAATAAGGAGCTTTCTAAGCTCATCATACAGTGCTGTCCCTGAAAGTTCGATCCACCTGCCAAAATAATGGCTAAGTCGGGCGGCGTACTGCGTAGCCATCTCACCATCAGCTGGTTTTCCTGTCCGAAATCTGTGCCGGAATCCTTCCACAGCAAATCTAAATCGCTTCAGTAAAGCAGCTTTCGCCTTAGCATAGTTGGCTGCATCGGTCGGCGTCAAGCCTACCGTACACACTTAGTGCTTCGCCACTCAAGCAGGTACTCAAAGCAGTTGCCCATTGATGTTCCGGTCAATTCTGGCTCCTTGCAGTCGTTTCAAGTTTGTGAAGGTACGCGTTAAAGTCGTCCCTCCTTTCATCAAACGCTACGAGCAGCTTACTTGGTTTCAACTGGAAGCCATGATCTTCCCGTTCGCTACTTTCAACTCTAGCTTTGAGACGTCCCCCGCTACGCCACCGATTTCCAAAGAGAGGGAAGACCACTCAACCCCTTGTCTATCCGGTTCCCCCTTGGCTATGTGTCTCAATCACTTCCCACATACCGGGATTCATGCTGGGGCCGGGAAGTAAGAGACGCTACGACCTGTTCCTGTTTACTGATTCATTTAATTTATTACTAACTGCAAACATCATATACCCGCGTACATCAACCACTACACAAAATTATAACACACGATTTTGACACTCGCGACGTTCGACACAGGGCAGACACATAAAGAAAGTAACTGCAACAATAGAAGGGTATATATAAAAAAAACACACGACCACACAAATGATGAAGTTATCAATGAATAAAACCACACAATGTCTCAACGCGCCGCTTCTCTGCCTGCAAAGCTCGTCTATATAGGGTGCATAAAGTTCGTCTCACGAATGGTCCATGTTGTCAGTCTTCATCGTCTTCGTCGTCTTCGTTGTCTCTCTCAGCGATTTCCATCCTAATCTTCTTTCATAACGTCCCGAAATCACTCGCTTCCGCGTTTCCCATATCTAACTTTCATTCCTCGTCATACCATCTATGCCTCAGTCA